AAATTATTTCATTTCAGACTTCCCTCTGGGGAGGGACTGCTGCGAAGATGCAGTGACGGAGATCTGAGATGTAGAGTCACCGGTTGAAGGCCAGCAGAGACACTGGTCACTTGGCCGCGCTCATTCCTTCCAAACTTCGAAGGAGTTTCACCAGGGGATAAAAAAAATTGAATGTGCCACAAAGATTAGAAAAAATTAAAATGTGACCATATTATAGCACAAGAAACGAGGCATCGAGGTGCTTCTGAAGAGCAACCAAAAATACAGCACTTCCACCCTGCTCGTTTCCCATCGCTGATACATAAGGGAGAAGGTGGCCCCTAATCCAGGCTGTTCCCGAGGCTGGCACTTCACAGCTCATGAAATGGAGCAGCAAATATCCATAAGGAAAAACAAACAGGCATAAAATCTCCTCACCTACCCTTCGCTGACATTGATTATGATGAAAATACTAATTTTCTTTTACCAATTCATCAAAACCTTGATCTGAAAGTTATGAATGGCTTTTCACAAAATCAAATTGCCTGACCAGGGTATAACTCTCTGTGCCATTTCCGACCTGCTCTTCAAGCAAAGAAAAAAAAAAAAAAAAAAAAAATCCCTGTAATCAATGTCTGCAGAAATGTTCGCTTGTCCCAAGTGCCTGGCAATGTTCTGTTAAAAAATCATACAATTAGGAGCCTAGAAGATGTAGGAATATGCATTTGGAGCTTTTCCACAATTTTTATGGTATATCCAGCTGTCTGTACATGTTATTAGCAGGTTTTTTTCAGCGCATGCTATTAACCCAGTTGACTTCTTTCTGGTATCCGTTCTATAAATCTGCACTTAGCAATACAGCAGAATAATTTGCTGTATGGTGCTCCTGTGATAAGAGGATTTTTTTTATCATCATTACGGACGGTAATAATTCCTAGAGTGATACAGAGATATTGATCCACTGATCTAAAAAAAAGCATTTACAAAGGTAGAGGAGCATCGCTATCCTTATTTTCAGGAACGGGATAACGGAGAGATGACGAGAGACCAACTCACCTATGGTCAATACAGCACCTCAGTGGCAAAGCTACAAATCAAACCTGGGTATTTTTGGCTATTTTTGCACACTCCAGCTATCGCTGCGTGGCTGGCTGTGTCGGCAGCTGTGGTCACGTAGACATTACACAGTGCTAGGAGTCAGGAGGTCTGAAAGTTTCCTTAAGCCGTTTACAATAAGTGATTTAAAATCTTAATCATCTGAGGCAGTTCGCTTCTGCTTTTTCATGATAATGAAGCTTAGCACATGATATCACAATCATGAATTTTTGTAAAGCATACTTAGCTCTTCAGAAAAAGTGCTGGATTAAACAACCCTGAGGGCTGAATCCTTCTCTTTGAATAATGAATATAGTACAGGCAGTGTCAAGCTGCTTTAGATAGTCCCACGAACCCCGCTAAAGCGAAGGCCAGCCTCCCTGTCTGCTGAGTCCCTGGTTTCTTTATCTCTACAGCCAACAGGGTGTTTTTATTTTTTAATACTTTTCACAGCTAGGAATTACACTCTGCCAGCTAACTAATTTCACAGGGACTATCCCAGAGCCTTCGGAAGGCAATGCCTTTTGGTTGCTGCCTATTTCTTGCAGCTGGCCGGAATATAACAAGTTACAGATATAAACAACAATTATTTCTCAGATGCAGGAGCGAATAACAGCAGGGAAAATAGAAGTCTCATGGAAAAAAAATCTCAGCTTCTTTAAAGTATACTGCTCCACCACTGGAGCTTTGTATCATTACTTTAGTCGTGTTTTACAGATGAGTTTGAAACAGCTGACAATAGGAATTTGGAGTAGAAATGCTGATGGTCCATTATCAGGAATGACAGCTATGAGTGCGACTTTAATAAAGTTCTGTCAGCTCTTGGCAAGAAACTACAACAGAAACAACCGGCTCAGTCTCCCTCCTTCTCTCTCTTCACCTTAACACATATCACACTCATCAGAAAGTGTTACATTCTCCCTCGATGCCACAGGACGGGCCTTCTCCTTGCTACTGGAGCCATGCGGTACGCTAAACCCCGCATCCCGCCTCGCGCTGACAGCAGACCATCACCGCACCAGCGGCGAGGCGGCTGTCATGGTGTAGACGTGGCCTAAAAGTCAACTGAAAGCTTTTCACTTTTTACTACGAAACAATAAGCAGCACAAACCAGAACTGTTCTGCAGAGCAGAGTAACCTGGACCTATTCCTTGCGACTGTCTGCTGGTAACAAAGATTATTCGCCTGAAGCCTTTAACAAAGCTCAAAAGTTGGCATAAATACCATCGAATATACTTCTCAGGTTCTTTCCTTCTGAGATACCACGATGTGCACTTGCTATGCAATCAAAAAGAGATGCCAAACAGAGTACATTGGACCATATTTCCACCCCACTGCTGTGAGCACTGCGAGTTCCCGAAGGCTCTGGCACAGTGAGGACAGTGTTTTCCTAAGACAGCGACTGCCTTTCGTTCACCTCTCTGTGTCTGGGAGGGAAGCACATCCGGATGGGTGCTGGGAAAACAAATACTGCTTATGGCAAAGGGAACCCGAATCTTGGAAATGGTAACATGAATTAAAATTCCAGTATGGGAACTCATAATGAAGACTTAAGTGTATAAATTCTCCCTCATGCTTTAGCGAAGCAGTTTTTCACCCCGTCCTTTTTCAGCTGAGCTCCCTTCACTGCAAATCTCCCTTAGCACTTTTCATTTTGACTGCAATACCAACCATTTTCCCAACACTTTCCCTTCTCTCATGGAGTGGTGGTTTTGTGAAGCTGATAAACATCTGCCTGGAAACCTGGTTGGCACAGCTGAACTCATTTTCAAGTGTGAACATGGGTGTGGAGAAAGCAATTCAAGTTTAACAAGGCATGATGCATGAGGGCATGATAGAGTATCAGCTGTGATTGTGAGCGAAATAAACCCGAGTGGCAGAGAGGACACAGCTCTGCTGCGGCTCCTGGTGTGTGACCTACCTGGACTGAGATCTTCAGCCTCCAGCATGAGAGAGCAGCACGGTAACTCTACGGCTCTGCCGGCCGGCAGCCGACGCTGCCCTGCCTGACATGTTGGTGACATGGCTTAAAAAATCTCAGCTTCTGATTATCGTAAGATTGCTATTTATGGCAGAACAAAACTGCCCCAATGCCCTTACTTACCCTGTTGGATTTCATAGATAGCTTTTCTATGCTCATACTAAGCCTGATGTCTGTTGAATAAAAGCAAGTATGCAGCGGGATTTCCATGGATCCCAGGAAAGATCCATTTCTTTGTTGGGTGACTCGGAAGAGTCAATTCAATCTTTTCGGGGCTCAAAACATCTGATGCCCAGATCTCCGGCAGTTACTTAGCTCCCTTCCCACTTGTGTCTTCCATCACCCCTTCCCTGTGCTACTTACAAAACGAAACCAGTGAAAATCAGAAATACTTGTTTTGCCTCAGTGTTGGGTCTAGACAGGTAATGACAGCTCTCGACTCCATCTGCTAACATTCATTACCGAGCGACAGGAACCGGCCTCAGACCTTCCCCCAGTCTTCCCCACGGCAAAAGCCGTGATCCTGAGGCTCTCCTTGCCTGAAGTGACTGCTGCCCCGTAAGTTTTGGGATCCCAGACTAAGTATGCATAAGTGTAAGTGTGTAATTTTCTTGGGGCTCCCTATTTATTGTCAGAGTGTCTTTTCAACAAGTCCTTATTATTCAGCAGCAGTATAGTGAGTGCTTCCAAGCTGCGCCATGAAATGTAGGATTACCTGCAACTTCCCCTGCTGAAATTTATAGGCATTTTAAAGAAGCTGGGCTGCACACAACACAAAAAACCCCATGCACAAATTGTTGCACAAAATACTGCGGGTCCTATAGCCTACTGGAAACAAGCAGATCTAAAAGTAAAGAAAAACATCTACAGCTGTACCTATATCTATATGCAAAAAGGGTACTATTATTTTTCCTGTGCCTTTTGAAAATGTAATAAAATGCATAAACTGTGCTTTCTATGTATTTTTTTTTCTATAGAAACAGCAGTGATGTTTTCACAGCTTCACACTTCAAATCACTTGACCCCCCGTGCTGTCAAATGGCCATGGTTAGCACCGCAGCATCCTTCCCCAGGGACAGAAGGGACGATCACTATTCTCTCTTCCAGTCAGCGCTGCCTGGCACTGACTTTTTGAGAAGGGTCACGCTCTGAGAATAATTACAGGTCCATATACCATAGAGTTAATACGCAGCCTTGGTCATCAATATACATTTAGTTTTCTTTTCAACCTGTTTGCAGAGGGCCTCTCCCCAAAAAGCACTTTTGCACTCAGAAGGGATCACCGGCTGTCGAAGTCTGTGCTGCACTTCATTTCCACAGTTTGGGTCAGCCGCTCGACCGCTCTTGGCAGTGCTGCTTAACACCTCCGCCCTGGTTTTTGGGTCATGATAGAGGCACAAGATTTAAAAGCTCTTTTTAGAAAGTTTTGTCCAGGCAAAGCTCTCAGGCTCAAGCTAACCTCTTGTTTCTGAGTTACAGCAGGCCTATGTTTTGCATACAGTTACAGAAAACACAGGAATGGAGGAGATAATGCTACAAAGTGGGCCAGTTCCCATAACCCTGTATGCCTTCAAACAGTCATTTACAGTCCTTTTTTTTTTTTTTTCCTGGCCTTATGCTACAAAGCAGAAAGGGGTCAGGGAAGGATCTTTGATTTTGTGAGAGCAGCAAACTAAGGGTGTTTTCTCAGGGTGCAAAGGAACCTTTCCAGCTGACAAACAGGGCGATAACACCAGTTAATATGTTGGCACCGAGACCTTGCTGACACTGGAAATAAAAGGTGATAATTTCAGTCACTGTGCAAAGTTCACGTGGATACCTTCATCACGTGGGACGTATTACAGCATAACCTCTAGCTGCAGACAGCAGCTATGCCTACCCTGGCTGTGACACGTAGCTCCCAATTAGCACTTAAGGAAAGAGACTTTGCAGGCTGCACACTCACCTCTGCTCAGCCCATCCGGTCCCCGAAGGATTCGGCATTCTTCTATCTGGCCAAACGGAGAAAACATCACCCTGATATCATTCTCATTACACTTCTTCGAAACCATTCCTATGAACAATTTTCTGTCTTCCACAGCTAGAAGATAAAAATAATGAATGAGCAAAGGCCATTTCATCTTTTTCCTGTGATCAATGCTTCATTACCACATCAAACCAAGCTCCAGTCATGTGAGTCTGGCTCTGTAACTGAAGACAAGTCCTAAGGCAAACACTTTATACTTACAACCTCCCTTCCCCCCTTCCTCCCCCACCCCAAATCTCTCCTTTTTCTTCCCCTCTCTCCTTTTTCTAGTGGTGCTTGCTGTTTATATGACATATTAATTGGCTGCCTTAGTCATCCTGCATATGCCTCCCCATCACGGCTTCTAAGAGAAAAGCATCCTCTGTTAGCGAGACTTTTAAAGATATATTTGCATAGATTTTAATCCAGATAAATTCCCTCACCTCCCTCACATATGAAAGAAATCATGGCAGGGTTGAGGGTGAAGAAGAAATTGCACACGTAATGACACGAGCTAATGAAAAATATTCCTGAGAAATGTTTTGAGAGAGCAGCTCCTATCTGAGCTTTCAATTTCAGCCAGCTTAATGCACGGCACTCGAAAGGCAGATGTGTAACAACCGCTCTGGAAAAAGGACGCATTAGATTTTCCTGCTTTTTTTCAGACTGACACAGCCCTCTCCCCTCCAAGCGGACACCAGGCACATTCTAGGGCACCACTTTAACAAGGGAGCGCATAATGCTTTCCCGGCGCCAAACCCTTTAATTTGTAACGATGCTGAGTTTGCAAAAAAAACCATGAAAAAGGGGCTTTGCCTGCATTACTGGTAGAATATTTCCCACCTGCATTGTCACCAAAATCAGCAAAAGCTGGATTGCTGCGGCAGGACGCACGCAGTCCTGGCAATCAAACTCCAATTTACAGGACTAAAGCTCTGGACTCTTGTCAAAAATGAAACAGGTCATCAAACTTAATTCACCCTGGAAAGATTTAAAAATTTTAACGTGTTCTCCCATCTATATTAAAGCAAAAATCTAAGTGCTTATTATCCAGTATGTACAGCAGTGCTTTCTTCTTTCTCTTGAAATGGGATGTAAATCCAATTCCCTGCTAATGAGCAGACTGCCAGAGTTTGCAGGGAAGCAAAGAGAGGAGCAAAGCTTTACTCCAGAGACTTCTGCAGTGCACTTACTTATTTCTATTATTGTGCAAATTATTTTTGTAACGAAGTATTCTCGTTTCTGGGCTTACAAATAAACCCCAAACAAATCTCCCCTTGCTCCCCACCTCTCTCTCCTGTACTAGTAAGAGTTTGTCAAATGGAATAAATTGCAGCTGAGGAAGAAGAAGCTGCGTCTATTTTCACAGGATCTTATTTGTTATACTTCAATACTTCTAAGTGCATTTAATAATTTCAACAATAAAAAGAAGAGGTTCATGTTTATTGATCATGAGAATTGTTTGAAGTAATCTTTTTCCTTCGAATCGCTGACTTTCAGAAGTGTTTGTAGCTTTTATGCAAGCAAGCACCAAGACCACGCATTTTTCAGAATCCAAAGCAGAGACCAGCCCCTACAACCGCAGCTTCTCACTCTACAAGCTTGCAAGAAAACTGGCGTGAATTTAACACCCAGGAGAAGAAGTTTTCCTCTGCAGAGATTCCTCAAGACTCAACATTTTCACTGACACCTTCTACTGACGCTCCCCAGGCAGGTCACCCCTCCAGAAAGGGTTAACAAATGGTGAATGCACATGTGGGACTGCGATTAAGACCTGCAAGTTGGGATTTTTATTTATTTATTTATGTCTTACCATGAAGCTCGACATCCGATTCATAATGTAGGATTGGCCTTGATGCTGCTAATAATTATTTGAAGGACGGTGAAATTAAATTGCCTTGCTCACAGCCACAAGGAGAGCCTGGGTACTCACCTTTGCTAGTGACAGGAGGACTGTAACTCGGCTGCTCAGCGTTCCTACACTGCCTTGGCTGATCTCTTTGAGTGGAACCCCGGGCAGCCTGTCCCCTTGTCACCAGCCACAGGCTGCGGCCAGGGTGCAGGGAAGGGAGTGAGGCCAGGGACCCAGCTGGGCTGCCAGGTACGGACCTCTCCGTGCCACAAACCGAGGTCAGGCTGGGGGAGGCCTTGGTGCCGAGCACAGGTCCAAGCACTGCCTTCTGCTCTGTGCTATGAACCTCTGAACATCTGCCTGCGTGGCAGGTAGTGCCAGCCAGCTTAAATTTGCGTTGACTTTAGGTTTGAAATACAGTGCAGGTCTACCCTAAGGGTGACTAGATCCCAACCCTCTCTTAAAGACAGCCGCTGGCTGAGTTGGACAAATGCTTGCCACCCACCCCCCAAAGGAGGTCCCTTGGGTCCTGCTTAGGTGCAAGGACAAAGACTCAAACCAAAGAGGTTCACATGGACATTCAAAAGAAATGAGATGCAAAAGGGAAGGCTTTGTTTTAATTTTCCAAGAGTAGCAGATGACGAACTCCCCACCGGCCTCCTTCAGATTCACTAGTAAACCTATAAATATGCCATTTAACTAACATGATTTGCAGGTTTACAGCTTGAGGGTGATTTTATAGTAAATTAAACATCCAGCTCCCGTGTACTGTACATCTTAAAAATGCAGATTTCATGAAGAATGCTCAGAGTACAGAAAACATATTGATATGATGGCGTGCTCTGCATTCCGTGCTGTTAGTCAGCGCTGAGCAGTCCTCAAGCCTAAGAAAATTGCTATTCTCTTTTTGGCTAGGGGCCCAGCATAAAAAAACATTTAAAGGGACAACTGTTAGGATCAAAACAACATGTTTTCACTCCATCTGATAGAACATCTGATATTATTAGGCTGAAAAGAGTTTTTCGCTGGATATTCTCATGCAGAGGAAGGAATGCTTTCTCTCCTCTGTAAGACTGGCTATCTGGCTTTGTTTCTGCATTTTTGGTCAGCCACATCTCTCCTTTCTTTCTAAAACGAATCCTTACCTGCCATGCAGGCATGGTTTGAGAATCAAGTAGACAACAGACTGCAAGAAGTACGGGTCAAATGTACTTTGAGGTTAGCAAACCTCCCCTTTGCTCAGCCAAGGCTGTCGATTTGCCTCTGTGTGTTGGGTTGCTCCCACGGACTGTAAAATGAGGAGCCCAACGTGAAACACACACGACCCAACAAAGTGTGGAGACCAGGACAGGCCCTGCCTGCTGCTGTTTGGAGAAAGGATGGCAGTTAGATGAGTCCAGATCTCGTCTGACTTTAGTCATCTACAGTTTAGATGTCGAGTCTTAGTCTCAGCTAAAATGTTCTCGACTGGCTGTTGTCAATGCCAAGAGATCAGCTCCTCCAAAGAGCAGCTGGTCTCGCCTCCCCCAGCAAGACGGGATGGCCTGTTTTACGGGAGCCTCTCCCCCGCTACTGATGATAGATAGGGCTGTTATCTCCTAGCCAACTCCCCAAACTTGCTCATCACTATAACACAAGGATGTCCTGAGCTCCAGCTGCAGGGACAGGAGGAATAAGTGAGCTCTGAGGGACTGAACAAAGCTTGGGAGCTGAGAGTGCTCTGGGCAATGAGAACAGGCAAAGGAGAAGGCTGGGGGAAAGATAACAGGGCACAAGGGTCAGCACTTGTGTGCACATCTCATAAGCATTTCACTGCTGCTCGATAATTCTCTCTCCCACACTAGGGGTAGGCTTCAATAATTCAAAATCCAGAAAATTAATGAAATGTTTTTAGCGAGCATTTGGTATCATTATTTCTGAACCTTGCTTGTAGGCTTAGCTGTACCTTCTGGCTGTTTGGCACCACTCTGGGGACATGAAGTAGATACAACCATTCGCAAGCACACAGTAGGATGGGGTGGCTGAGTAACCCTCATTGACGGAGCAGAAGCAGCCAGAAGGTCACAGTGAACAAGGCCTGCAGTTCTAGTTACATGAAGGAAGGTGTGAAACAGCACAGCATCTTGATTAAATAATTAGCGGATTCACCTCTAATCCACCCAAACACATCACAAACACAAGTCCACTATGTTAGTGCAACACACCCAGTGCTAAGCCTGCTGGATTTGGGGTGGGAATCTTCTGACCGAATGCAGGAACCCCGTGTGACGAAATGGAGAGATCTGTTTTCAGATGAGAAGTGTTGTTCTCATAACTCCAAGACTAGCTCTGAAATCACCAGCACGAGTGTCTAGGTAGTGTGTTTGACGCCAGAGAGCTACGCTAACCACCAAAAGTTCGCCGAGATGAAGTCTGCCTCTGCTGGGGGGGGGGCTTCTTCCACACTGGACCCTCCTGCCTTCTGACAGCCCTAAATCCAACTTGCAGAATAAATCCCTGAAGGGTCTAATTTTTTAGCTTTACTTAATTTGCTTCAGTAATGAGCATTTCTTGCAGGCTGTATTTGATTGCTTGTGCTAACCCAGGAGAATAAAGGAGTAGAGATTGTTTTCTGTACGCTACAAAAGAATTAAACCCTGTAATAATCATGGGAAATCTCCCTGAAGATTCAACAAACTTTCATTTTCACTCTTCTAAACCCCAAAAATTCTGTCCTGAAAAATCACAGTTATATCCCTTTACTATACATTTTTGAGCACTCCAGTCAGAGTGCTTTCTCCAGCCAGAAGCTGCCCTCTCTTTCGAGCAAATAAAGAAATATTTAATTATAGATAATTCATTATTTATTAATTTTTTTCATCCAGAAGGGAAGCGAGGAAAACAGATTTTTATCCTGTGAAAAAGCCTTGCATACAATCTGTCAAAGTCACACCTGGATCTGGAGCTGCCTACATTAATTATCAACTTTTCTACGTGTTAGTGCTAACATATGGCATTTAATTACTCCCTCCAAATCGGCAAAGTTGTGCCACTTAGAAATTCAAAAATATTTCTTCAAGTTTCTGCTAATAAAATAAATAAATAAATAAATAATAGCTCAGCTGATTTTTTATTTAAATAGAAAATTTTGTCATTTTCCCCGAAGTGGTGACGCTTCGATCCATTTAAGAGCACACTGTCCTCAGGATACGTGCCCGAAAGTATTGATTGTATTCAAATCCTGACCCAAGAAACGTTTAAGTATTTGCTGAATTGTAGCACGTTAATGGCCACAGACAACTTGGGAGTCAAGCACGTGTTTACGAGCTTTTCGGCATTAGAGAGCAGGACCCCTCTTTGTCTGAAAAAGCGAAAATATCCATAAATGGACAAACACTGTGAGTGATCAACAGTTGAGATGAAACTAGCAATGGTGGAATCCTCAAAGTCTTGAAACCATGCTTTTCTGGTTAATTCTTAACCAAAGCTTTGTAGATAGGTTAAAATAACCACCCATCAATACAGAGGTGGTCAGACTAGACCTAACGGGTGATCAGAATAGGACACACTACAAAATTCATCATCTGAAAATCTTTCAGGCGTGTTACATTTCTCGACAATAAAAACCTTTTCAGAATCCTCCCAGGCAGACAGATTAACTAAATCGAAAGCCACGTCTTTCCCCGCAACTCTAGCTGCTAAAACCCTGGTGGAAGAGATTAAGCTTTGCTTCCTCTGCACGAGCAGAGAGATGACTCAGATACACGAGCTATTGTACGCAGGGAAGGAATGGAGATGATGGCATAGATCTATCAGCCGCCCAGTTCCCACCCAGAAGAAAACAGATCTCCAGGTTGCTAACAAAGTCCTAGTCCCACAGAAGTGCCCAGGCACTTAGTCAAATGTGTGCAGGAGGTGCCTCTTCCACACCCATCTCCCAGTTTCCACGAGGCGTGCTCAGCCTCTTGTGCTAAGGGACAGGTTTCTGAAGTGATGCATACATCGAAAGACAGGAACAGTGATGGAGCAGGAGGAGCATTTCATCCTGGTACTCCTGTGCTTGGGTGCTCATTCAAACGTTTTTGCAAGGGACTCAAGATGGGGAGTGGACGTCTTACCACACAGCAAACAGTGTTCTTTGAAAACCTCTGTAAGACGAATGAGAGCACCTCTCCTTCCCTGTGGAACGTCAACAGGTCTCTCAAGCACACACAAACGTGTGCAAGCTCAGAAGCACTGTACTGTTCAGCCTCTCCTACGTATCTTTCCACACGCTATCTGGAAATTTTGACCAAGAGAATTTCTTCAACCTCTTTGAAACTTGAGAAAAACCACTTTACCTATAAAATGTAGCAGGATCCTCCCACTACTCAGCAATCAAAAGGTTTCAAGCATTCCTCAAAAGCTCAAACACCACAGATCATGAAAACCAAGATGCCTTGGCACGCCTTCTTTCTGTTCCCCTTTGAACTCACCAATCTGGTTGAAGAGGTACAGTTTACAATTTGCTGTTGGCACAGATAATACACCTCCTCAGATGGACAGCCTGAAGCATATGGGGAACACGTGCCAAACAGGCCTCCGCATCCCCCATACTGCTGTTCTTTCTCTTTTTGGCTCTCCAAACTGCTTGCAAACTCAGACCTCCTCCATGGAGCCCACACCTACGTCCCATCATTCCAAGGAGTTTTACCACTGTTACCATCATCACAGTATTAGTTTGCCTTCTGTTTGCTCAGTCACTAAAAAAGCAGAGTTCACCACCCGCAGAACATGCCCACCAGGAGTACCTACACCCTTTTCTCACCCAGTTTGATAATTGCAACCTCTGATCTGTCAATGTCTTTTCCCCCATATACAAAGAAAGGCAAGGAAAAAAAGCTAATCCCTTGAGATCTTCATGCTAGGGACAGGTGCAAGAAAATAAGAGAGCATCCCCACAGCGCAGACAGAAGTGTCACGCAGGTAAGCCCAGGCTAACAGCGGCGGTGAGGACTAACCCACCCTGCTCTCCACCCAGGTGCTATTTGCAGAGCAAGACCCAATTTGCACCATTCCCAACAGCGCTTTGCCAATATGTTCAATCTCGTTTAGGAAGCAAAAATTCAGGCAATGAATAAGTAACTTTTTCGCAATCTATTTTGGCCCATTCCCTCTTATTTTTTCAATTTGCCGAGGAACTTGAGACGAAATTTATCTCTGAAAGAAGAACCCAGAAGCTACTTAGTTCAGAGGGTCCAGGCCAGCGTTCCTGTACCTAAGGGAAAATTGTGCCCACTGCAAGCACAATAAAGACTAGGGAGTGGAGTCTGGATTCCAGCAGCAAAATTCGCCTTGACTACAGTGGTGCTTCAAAAGCTTGGTCCTCCTGCCCATGCAGGTGCCTTGGCCTCTCTTCTGAGCCTTCAAAGGCAGCAAGAAATCACGGCTAAAACTCAACCCAGAGAGAGAACTCCAGTCCCTCACACACGGGTGACGGCTCAGATTCCCCGTGCTTGCGGCCAGTTTGGTTTTGACGTAATAGGAAGCCTAGCATAATGCGAAGTTTTAATTTCCTTCCAAACTTTATAATCCTTGGAGAAGTCTGAAAATGGGATGCACCACAATTAGCAAAAAAGAAGCCTTAAAAAAGCCTCGTGGAGAGATTTAGAGCCCAATCATAATTTACATTTGCAGGTATGTAGATCTCTAAGTGCACGGCTTCTGCCCTGATTACTAATTAATGAGGTGCAAAGATGCCTGTTGGAGGAACCAGCTCTGATTATGTGGGCCTTATGGGAAAATGAAGCTCTTGCAATCTAAGAAGGCAGATGATATCTTTAACATATATTTTAGAAAATTACAGGAACAAATCAAGGGGCAAAATATACACATGTATATATTTTTAAAGAATCGCACACAGCCCGGTTGCGTTACCATCCGATTATCTTATTTCCTTGCATATACAAACCTGGCATGTTTAATAGATTTCTCATGCTGTCTATTTTGCATGCCATATACATACACTTAGGCAGCACCCTAGTATTCTGAATGGGTATTACTGTCATTATAGCATTCATTTTACAATTGCTGAGAGGAATAAGTATACAGAGAGCTGCAAGGTGGGTTTCCCAGTTCAGAACCAAGCATATGATTATAACCTAAATTTGGCTCAGGTTCACAACAGCATCATTCTATAAAAAAGAACTTTAGACAAATGTTTAAGGCCCATCAGCTGCTTACGCAGTTTGTTAACAGGGGACTATTTTATGTTTCTTTTTCATTATCACCATTAAAATTTCATCTCCTTCTTATCAATATCAGGTGCCCCCACGTCATCTCGCTGCCAGAAGACAAGAGAAAGACGTATACAGTGAGGAGGGCCATGGCATGCAGGAGGTACAAGGAAGATGGTGTTTCAGAACTTTTTCCTGCTTCTTTAAAGCTGAGGATAAATTGGAGTTCAGAGCAGGCCAACATCTTCCCCAACACGCCAGGTGTATCTCATATCATTTTCACCACATAAGGAGTAAAGCAAAAACTCTCGCGATGCTGCGTTTGCTTTAGTTTAGAGAGATTCAAAATCACGTAAAAATAAATTAAACACATACCATTTGACTTTTCACTGTCTGCAGGTTTCATCTGAATAGGATGATGCATCTAAAAAAAAAACAACAGAAGAGAGTAAGGCAGGTTGGAGAATCAGAAAAATCAAGAATCATGTTTTTACTGAAGGGCTTAAAGGATATATGATTAATATTAAACATGTTGAAATGATATAAATTCAAAATAACACTATATTCTAGGCTTTTAAGAAAAAATAAAATGGTAAAGGAGAATTTTATAACCAGGAAGATTTAAAAAAATAGATCATTGGACCCATAGGACTCATATAAAACTTTAATTAGCTGTATCAGGTTTCAGAAGACCTCTAAAGTTACAGCCCTTGTTACTTTACCGTACGCTTGGTTTCTGTTTTACCAACTTATTTTCCTTGAGCTCAACCACCGCCAAAACTGAGATGGAATTTTCAAGTAATTTAAGAACTAGCAAGCATTACCAACATACTCAGAGGAGTTGAGTCTGACAAATGAACTTTGCTTGTAATTAAAAAAACATGGGCTGATTCTTTCAGGACTGAAGCGGAAGAGACTCATGCTTCCTGTAATAGCTTCCTATAACTCGTTAGTATCTCTCTTTTTTTAATACGTTATACGTTCATTCATAAAGCTTCCACCACAACATGGCACAATTCTGGCTTCCATAAAAACTCGTAATACTTTTTCCTTTTCAACTCCGTCCTCCCTCCGCGTGCCTCACGGCATCCCACCGTGGCACGCTCGGTACGGTGCATCCCCGGCTCTCAGCACCAAACGCTGCTCCCCTCATACTGAATTGCCCATAACTCCAACAGAATTCTTACGAGTGGTGTTTTCTGGTGTTTCAGGAATAGCAACACCACAACAGCTGAGCTCACCCGGATCGGAGCGCGTGGCAATCCCACCGGACACTGGTTAGAGCCAGCCCTGTGTCCATGGTGAAGGATTCAGCGAAATATTGTTACAGCTTCTCAGAAGCCTTCAGAGCTGACCTCACATCGAGTTTCAATGTGGGAGACGCTTAAGCTTGCAGGAAACCCCTCTTTTATTTTCCTTCCAACGGCTCTGCAGAATTGCTGGGATTTGACTGCACAAACCTTCCGGCAGCAGCAGTGCCGCCGCCTTTTCGCTCCTCAGCAATTCCCCACCATTTCACATGAGCATGGAAAAAAATCTATGTGCTTTCTGCTGCTGTACCATTTTTCAGTGCAGCAGAGCCAAGTATTGCCTGAAAATGTCAAGGCAATGCCATTTTTTTTAATAAACGACTATTATGGCAAACTTTGGGAAATAAAAACAGCTGTGCAGGTGAGAACATCCATGCCCTCGTATCAAAAGTGCTTTCAAAGCAACACAGAAAACCAAATCTTGCTTTTGGTGGAGTCCCTTAACCTCCAGGAACACAGTTGCTAAGATTCTTCAGCAAATGTAAAATATTGCTGCGAGTGTTTCCCTAAGATTTACTCTTAGTGCAGAGCGCTGCGCGGCCCGGCAAATCAATGCGTCCCCTGCGCTGCCCGCGACCTCCCCGCTGCGCCCCAAGGAAAAGGCAAAGCCACAAGGTGGATGCAGGCACCAGCATGCATAAATTTGCTTCCATTTTAACAATTCTGTTCTCTTTGACTCATTTGTTTCCCAAATGGACTTTAATAGCCCAGCACTTTTCTGCCACCACTCTTATTCGATCTAATTTATAGGAAAAAAGGAACTTCTATTGTACTCTGTCTTCTTTAACTAGTGCTTAACATTTATCCTGGCATCAACAATACACTGGGCACTGCAGGAGACTTTAAATTCATGGGAATGCGCTGCAGCATGTCCACTCAGCAAGCAAAAAGTGAAAGAAAAAAGGTGTAACTTGCTCCATGAGCCTGAGCAGGTATTGACGTCTCTGCAGAGCAACGGAGTGGTGAGAAAATAGAAGAAAGAAAATTGAGTATTGTCAGTTAGGGGATATGCAGGTTACAGAAGAAAAACACAACCCAAAAAAGAACCTGTCACTCTTTCTAGCTGCATTTCTATGCCCCTAAGTGGAGATATTTTGAATAAAGGCAATTCTAACAATGTTAAAACCCCTTCACTTTTCAAACTGCCTGAATCAGAGAAGCCAACCCGACCAAATTCAGGTGAAGAAGTTATTTTTGCAGCCCCATGGTCACAATATAAACATCAGTGTTACCCAACAAACACGGTTATCACATCAGATACGCGTAATTACCCCAAGTTCATTAAATTAGTGATCTGTTATGCCGACAAAGCAAGAGGCAAGATGTAACAAGATGCTTCAGCTGGGTTCTGACTTGATTTCAAAGGTTTCTGCTAAAAACCCATGGTCCCAATTCTCTTCGCACCAGCAAGCTGAAGGCTGGAGGGATGCTGTTGCACTTAACAAAATTCAATCGGTGCAACATCAACAGAAGATCCAGATTAGGCCTGGAGGGTTTAAACCACAGAATACCCACAGTAAAATGGATGCCATACACAAACATGGCTTCAGCGAAGAGGAAGGTGGAAAAATACCTTACTGACAGTTTCCTAACATGAGAGGGCTCGTGTCGAAGCTTGTTTAACCCTGACCATCACCAATTGATACGTTAACAACCTTTAACACTATATTCAATAAAACATGCCATTTATAACCTGAAATGGGTTTTACAGAGTCACTGGTTCGCATCTCATTATTAAACTCATTGCTGACCTCTAGAGACAACTGCCGTGACAATACATATTATAAGCTCTCTACCCATAAAATATTTAAAAGTAAGTGTAAAAAAGAAAAGAAAAGCAAAGCAAAGAATGAATCTCAAAGAAGTGTGCAGCGAATAAGAAAATTAAAGGGGCAGAGACGAAGGCTAAATAGGTACTATCCTTTCACTCTACAATGAGCAAAAGAGAAAATAATCTGTGCGTTTTATATCTTGCTTGTATAACTGCAGGCTATAAAATAATAAAAAAGCTGTGCTTTCGAGGCCCTCCAAAAGATTATAGATGATATAAACCTGTTTCAAATTAGATGCCACCCACTAGAATCATGTCATCTACTGAAATGAAGGATTTCATGTCTTATCAGAAAGCTGTTATTGTAGCTATACATCACAAAGCCATACACTTATGGATCTCAAGGTAAGTGATTTCTCAGTATGTCATGTTGTCACGCAGAAAAACAGGAAACATTTTCTTCTGTGCTTGAAGAAAGCTTTGCTTATGAAAATACAGTGTTTATGAATGCACAGCTGCAATTAATAAATAGGCGAGAGTAAGAAAAATAACTGCAGTAAGTAATTTATAGACATTAACATTATCCTGTGCTCAGACCATACAGTAACAGAGAACAGCGCAGCTCTCAGGCAAGTTCCGAGTGTGGGCAGCTTCCCCCTGCAAGTACCGTGCACGGAGATATAGAATCATAGAATCACTAAAGTTGGAAAAGACCTCCAAGATCATCAAGTCAAATCATCCACCCAACACCACCGTGCCTGCTAAACCATGTCCCGCAGTGCCACATCTACATGTTTTGTGAACACCTCCAGGGATGGGGACTCCACCACCTCCATGGGCAGCCTGCTCCAATGCCTGATCACTCTTTCAGTAAAGAAATTTTTCCTAATATTCAAACTAAACCTCCTCTGACGCAACTTGAGGCCGTAATGGAAACCAGACTGGAGAAACCACAATGGAGGCCATATGGAAACCAGACCTGAGAAAGGGTTGTAAGGAATAATCTCCCCTTGGCAATATTTTAGAGAGCTCTACGGGATGCAATTGTGCAGCCAGTAACAGCACGACCTGCCTTTCCTCACACGCTCTCCATCCATGGGTCTCAGAGCCACAGGTTCCATGACGGAGCGCAGGCAGACGGCTGCAGCCCAAGGGCGCCGGGTCC